TGACTGACTTTGCCGGGTCTATTACAGTTATTCAGAACAAGCAAGGGCTGACATATAAGAAAATACCAACACATTGCAATATATAATACTTTTCACTATTGATCAAGTCATAGAAGTATGTTTTAGGGTTCTGTTCTTGACAAAGGTTTGATAGTTCCTCTTGTTGCTCTTTTAAATATAGACAATATTAGTATCAGAATCATAAATGCAGTTTAACGAATGACAACTCAGATAACCCAATGTAAACGAAACATTTTGAAAGTCAGAACACCAAGATTCAGCGACAAAAATAGTGGTCACAGAAAGCATTATCTTCATTACTGATAGGTAGCAGAGACAAGCAGGGAGGGGATAGAGGGATTCAGGGAAAGTGAAAGCCTCCCAAGTAATCCTGGAGATTTCTTGTTGTCTATCAAATCATTCTAAATAATCAGTCAATCGTGGTGATTTTTTTTTTTTTTTTTTTTTTTGCTCAGTTGCAAAAGAATTAGAATAATCATACTGTGGAATGTGGATAGATCACTCCATTATTTAAAATTATGCAAATGCGAACAGTACACAACCAACAATGATAAATGATATTTCTTTGATTTATGTTTGTAATGAGTGGTGATTTGTAAATCTATGTGCTTGATATATATATATATATATATATATATATATATATATATATATATATATATATATATATATATATATATATATATCCCTCTTTTTTCCGCCTGTGGATAGAGTAATTAGATAAACAGATAAGCGTAGAGGTCAATCGGTAGAAAGAGAAGGGAAGAGATGTGTATCAATGTAAAAAAAAAAAAAAAAAAAAAAAAAAAAAAAAAAAAAAAAAACTGCATACCTATGAATGTATCTACATGTGGGTGTACAGTACATGCTTGCGTGTGAATGTGTCCAAGGTTTACATAAGTACTTATATAGACCTTGACTGTGTAGACCTTGATATGCAGATGTATGTAATATCGATTTATGACATACATTATTCTGCTTCTGTTCATACAGTATCAGTAGTGGTGATAGTATCGTTACTACAAATAATGGAAATTTACTAGCTATTCAATTGTAGTTTTTTTTTTTTTTCCTGATTAGCAA